TGTAGGGACAGATGTCATTCTGGCCAGGGTCTATCTGGTTAGCCTCACGGGCTGGTCCTGGATTCCATGTATCAACTGCAGTCACCATATTTGAATTAGGATCACGCTGACATGCTAAAACATCATCCACTCCCTATAGAAAGAAAAAAAATAGTAAAGAGAATTCAGAGAAGTAGAAAAAAATAGAGAAAATTTCTAATACAGCTAGTTAAAATAGTGATATTAAATTTTTTACTCTTTGCCTAAAATTCTTTTGCCAGGTTGAATTTTAGAGTACGGAAGGAAGCAAAATTTTAGAGAAATTATAGAGACAAAATACTTTAAAGCAAAAATCTACATGCATGTATATATATATACATGTAGTTATAGACTCACCATTCGGTTATCAGCAGAGAACCCAACCCCAACCCATCCTGAGGCTGATGCCTCTAGCCTCACGTCAAGATAAAGAGGATTGGTTCGGTTGACACGTGCACCAAAATAATATCCTGAGCCTTGAGTGCCTTGCTGGAACGTGTATACCAAGTCATCAGTCTATGAACAAGGAAATAATCATAACACTTACATATATGCTATGTGTAAGTAGTAAAGTGAAATTTTATAATGTTTTTGGAGCCTAAATCTATAGCCCAGTCACTGGATAAAAGTTGAATAACATACAAGTATGTAATTTAAACTTTTTAAAACTGCATGACTAGAAATGAATACCGTATACGTTCAAATTTTTAAGGGTTCAAAATTTCGTGTTTTCAATGAAATTTGCTCAAAAGTTAATATTCGTGTGAGCTAATTTTCATGTTCTGGCCATAGTCTACATATAATAGTATGGCATTAGAGGTGGCTTGAATTTCGTGGATTTAAGGTGAGCACGAAAATAACAAAATTTAATACACCTCGAAAATTAAGACGCGTACAGTATGTACTAGGCAGAAGTACAATAATTAGGATTTCTTTCAGCTAGTAAAGTATTATCAGTTATAGTGCACAGGTATATTGATATTAACAAGATTCAATGACCTCAACCTTGATTATAAACTCACTGGTGGTACTGGTGGACAGCCTCCAGTATTTCTATCTCTAACAGGATTGTACTGCTGTGCACTGATAGTAGGAGTCATACCACCATTAGCAGTATGATAGCTTAAGAATGTAGCATTATCTTGATCTGGAAAGGGAGAGGAGAAAGGAAGTAGGAATGAATCTGCTCTTCAGAACTCTTAGTATTTACAGTAGGATGCATACATGTATCTATAGAAGCCAGTAAATATACTGTACCTGCAGCTCTTCTACCAAACAATAGGTAATAGGAATTGTCCAGGTTATAATCCTGACCCACATCTGTAATATTAATAGTCCTACTGAACCTATTGGGAGAGAGTGAGTTTAACATACACATGTAGTAATAATGGCCAGTATAGATATTAACATACCTGCAGGTTATTCTACCGTTAGTGAATGATGTAGATTGGACACACAGTCCATCCTGTGTAGCATCAAGCATATTAGCTGCTCTTCTAGGAGAAGGATTCCATGTATCAACTACTGTTACTGCACCAGAGTTAACACGACAACCCAATACATCATCATTCTCCTGTAATATATTTATAAAGAGATAGAGAGAGATTAATTTATTAATATACCATTTGTGTGTTTAGGGAGAATCCAATAGCTATCCATCCAGAAGCATTACCTTCAAGATATACATCAAGATAACTTGGATCTGATGGATTAGGTGACAATCCAACATAATATTCACAAGAACTCCTTTCACATCCTTCAGGCATCCCAAACATCAAATTATGTGATCCAACAGCCTGAAAAAGAGTAATTGACTTACATAATAAAGTTTCTCATTATGTCACAAATCACAATAATTATTATAATTATTATTATTGTCATGTATATCAGTATGTGCAAAAGTGCATAATAAAAATATAATTAAGTCTATGGCTTACAGTAATTTGTACTAGGCATGTATTATTATTATTGTCTACAACAGGATTGTACTGCAGTTGGCTGACAGTAGGAGTCATACCACCATTAGCACTATGATAGCCTAATACTGTAGTAGAACTTTGATCTGGAGAGGGAGGAAACAAGTACGAGAGAAAGAAAGTAGGAACAAATTTGCTCTTCAGAACTCTTAGTATTTACACTAGCATGCATATCTATAGAAGCTAGTAAATATACTGTACTTGCAGCTCTTCTACCAAATAATAGGTAATAGGAACTGTTCAAATTATAATCCTGACCCACATCTGTAATATTAATAGTCCTACTGAACCTATTAGGAGAGAGTGAGTTAATTAACATAGTAATAATGACCAGTATAGTTATTAACACACCTGCAGGTTATTCTACCGTTAGTGAATGATGTAGATTGGACACAAAGTCCATCCTGTGTAGCATCAAGCATATTAGCTGCTCTTCTAGGAGAAGGATTCCATGTATCAACTACTGTTACTATACTAGAATTAACACGACAACCCAATACATCATCATTCTCCTGTAATATATTTATAAAAAGATAGAGAGAGACTATATTATTAATATACCATTTGTGTGTTGTTGGAGAATCCAATAGCTATCCATCCAGCAGCATTACCCTCAAGATATACATCAAGATATGTTGGATCTGATGGATTTGGTGACAATCCAACATAATATTCACAAGAACTTCTATCACATCCTTGAGGCATCCCAAACAACAAATTATGTGATCCAACAGCCTAAAAGTTGCACACATGTAAGTAACTCTAATACAAAATTAAGCTATTTAATCGTACTATCTTTCATTACAAGCAGTCAAATTCATTACAAATTAATGTTCAATTATGTGTTAAAATAAAATGGTAGATTATCATAAACAATAATTGCAGAGCCTGTAATAAGAATTTGATATCAGACATTTTCCAACCATATTGCTGATTTGTCTGACCAAATTCTGTGTTGCTCTAGCATTTTGCCCTTTGAAATA